AACAAGAGGCGCAGAAGACGAGGAAAGAGAGGCGGAATCTCTGTCAGGTTCAAGGCATACCTTGCGTCCTCCGGTGTGGATAATCGCAATTGGACAGCAGATTCCGGTTTCGACCTCCGGCGTCCCCTCCAGCTCTGCTATCGGTGGCTATGTCCAGCTAGCCCTGATGCTGGGCACCCCCTTCCGCGTTGCCGCCCCGTCAGGATCCAGAGTCGGCGGTGCTCACAGGAGAATCTCCGCCCACTGGTCCGCGCTGTCTCGGAGCCTGTCAGCTGTGGATCTCTCTATCTCTCTGCAGCACTGTTCAACGCCCGTTCACTCTCAAACAAGACTTTCATCATAAACGACTTCATTTCTACGCACGATCTGGATTTTTGCTTTCTGACGGAAACCTGGCAAAAATCTGGTGATAACAGCGCCTTCACTGAGCTCCTCCCACCTGGATATTCATACCTCAGTACACCGCGGCTCTCAGGACGTGGTGGTGGCCTGGCTACTGTGTATAAGCATACATACACCTGTCGCTTTCTGCCCACCAAAGCCTACAGTAGTTTTGAACTGCAGCTCTTTTTATTTGAGTCAGTCACCCCTGTTTTGTGTGCCATTGTTTACCGCCCACCTAAGCACAATAAGAATTTTATAACTGAGTTTTCAGAATTTCTGGCCGAGTTTGTCCCATCATATGACCACATCTTAATTTGTGGGGATTTTAACATTAATGTGTGCTGTCCATCAAATACTTTAGCATCTGAGTTCCTCTGCCTGTTGGACACTGTTGACCTGTCACAATCAGTACATAAACCCACACATAATCTTGGCCACACACTGGACCTTATTATCTCACATGATCTACCTGTAATACTACAGGAAATATCTCAGACATGCATCTCAGATCATTTCCCAATTCTTTTTAATTTTTCTGTACCCCGTTCTGCATCCGACCCTCTCACTACACCCTCCTGTCGCCGCATCATTTCCTCCTCCACCCCTGCTCAGTTTGCCACTGCCTTTAGGACCACTGCTCTGTACACAGGGACAGTTGTGGCTCCCCATGTCTGTCCAGATGATGCAGTTTCCTCCTTCCACTCTACCTGCACTGACATTCTGGACAGTATTGCACCATTTAGGTGCAAATCTACTCAAATCAAACCAGACCCGTGGCTCAATGAAACCACCCGAGCCCTGAGGCAGCAATGCAGACAGGCTGAGCGCAGGTATAGGAAGGACAAGCTTCAGGTGTCTGTGGAGATCCTGAGGGAGAGCCTAGCCAGCTACCAAAAGGCAGTCAGGGAGGCTAAATGCCAATATCTATCAAATATTGTCTCCTCCAGCTCTAGCAACCCTAGGGTGCTTTTTAACTCAATACAGTCTGTGATTAGTCCACCTGGCAGTGTGCTAAAGAATGTTTCTGAGTCTACATGTGATGGATTCCTGAAGCATTTTGTGGATAAAGTGGCATCAGTGAGGATGGGCATTGGCTGTAATGCTCACTCTGCTGTTGTTTATACTCCTCCACTGCCCCCTGCTGTTCTCGAAGAATTTGAGCCTGTGACACTGACTCTCCTCTCTGAGGTGGTCCAGGGGATGAGACCCACAAGTTGTCCTCTGGATATTGTTCCATCTAAGGTTCTCAAACATGCTTTCGACACTGTGGGCCCATACCTTCTTGCTTTGTTTAATAGCTGCCTTAGCACTGGATCTGTTCCTGCAGCCTTCAAGCATGCTGTGGTTAGGCCACTGTTAAAAAAACCTAATCTAGATCCTGCTATTCTGTCAAATTTTCGACCTGTCTCTCACCTGCCATTTTTGTCTAAGGTTTTAGAGAAACTAATCTTCATTTATTTACCTTTTTGGAAAATAATTCTATTTTGGAGAAATTTCAATCAGGCTTCAGATCGCGTCACAGCACGGAGTCAGCTCTTCTTAAAGTGCACAACGACATTCTGCTGTCTTTGGATTCGAAGCAGCCAGTGCTTTTGATGATGCTGGACCTGACTGCGGCGTTTGACACCGTGGACCACTCAGTTCTCCTCTCCCGGCTGGCGGAGCATGTTGGTGTTCAGGGCACGGTCCTGCAGTGGTTCAGGTCCTACCTGACTGACCGGAGCTTTGTTGTGATGGTCGATGACTATTCCTCCTCCTCCACCCCGCTGTCATCTGGGGTGCCACAGGGTTCCATCCTTGGCCCGGTCCTGTTCTCACTTTACATGCTGCCGCTCGGGTCCATCATTGCCAGACATAATTTATCATTCCATCTTTATGCTGACGATGTCCAGGTTTATTTACCAGTGCTCCCTAACACTGCCACTGCCCTTGACTCCCTCCACCACTGCCTTTCGGACATTAAACAATGGCTCACGCAGAATTTCCTCCACCTCAATGAAACAAAATCCGAATTCATTATTTTTGGCTCCGGGGATGTTCCTCAGTTTCAGTCCAGGGTCGTGGGTCCAGTCCGTGATGCCGTCAGGAACCTGGGAGTTGTTTTTGACCGGGAACTGAACTTTAAACAACAAATACATGCTGTTGTCAAAGCCAGCTTTTTCCAGCTGCGCCTTTTGACCAAGGTGAAGCCCTTTCTCTCACGCCAAGACCTCGAGAAGGCAACGCACGCATTTATCAGCTCTCGGTTGGACTATTGCAACGCTCTCTACTCTGGCCTCCCACAGTCGTCACTCAACCGGTTACAGTTGGTGCAGAATGCAGCAGCCCGTCTTCTCACCGGTTCATCTAGATGCAGCCACATCACTCCTGTCCTCTCCTCCCTGCACTGGCTCCCGGTCCGTTTTCGGATTGATTTTAAAATGTTAATGCTTGTTTTTAAAGCTCTTCATGGTCTCGCTCCGTTATATTTAACTGAGTTGTTGACCGTACATCGCCCCAGCAGAGCTCTCCGGTCTGCCAATCAAATGGTTCTGGATGTGCCCAGGTCCCACTACAAACAGTGGGGCGAACGTTCCTTCAGGGCTGCAGCGCCTAAACTGTGGAACAGCTTGCCACTCAGTCTGCGTGTGCTCACGGACCTGTCCCTTTTTAAGTCCAGATTAAAGACTCATCTTTTTAAACTTGCTTTTAATACTTAGGGCACACTGAATTGTGTCTTGGTTGTTTTCATTTTGTGTTTTAAATTGTTTTAATCTCTCTGTGAAGCACTTTGGTCCTCCTGGTGTTGTTGTAAAGTGCTATACAAATAAACTTTGATTGATTGATTGATTGATTGTGTGTACATTTTTGTCTAGTCTCCTGTTTTCAGTGTGTACTAGCGTTTTTTTTTCTATCAGCAGTTATATTGTTCGTCCTCTGTTCAGTGTGTTACTTTTGCTCTGTTTGGGGAGCCGTGTGCGGTGTCCTCTGCCACACCTGGCTCTTTAATTGGCCCACGTTGTGTGCGTGTGTGCATTTTTCTAGTCTTCTGTTTTCAGTTTGTACTAGCGTTGTAATTTTCTATCAGCAGTTATACTGTTCGATCTCTGTTCAGTAGAGTTGCTATTGCTCTGGTTGTGGAGGCGTGTGTGGCGTCCTCTGCCCCACCGGACTCTTTATTTTGCCCACATTGTGGGTTTGTACACTTTCGTTAGCTTTTCTGTTTTCAGTGAACGCTAACGTTTTGTTTTTTCTACCAACAGTTAGACTGTTCGCCCTCTGTTCAGTTGTGTTTGGTTTTCACCGTGTGCTTTGAGTCGTCTGTGGCGTTTTCAGCTCGACCCGACTCTACTTACACTGCTCCACCAGTTCAGGCGCTCTCGTCATGCACGAGTCGCTGGGCTGCCGTGGGTGCATGGCACCGATGCCCCGCGAGGATTGCCCTGACCTCTGCCTTGCGTGCCTGGGTGTCGGGCATTTGAGACAGGGCCTGACAGTGGACGCCTGCTCTAATTGTGCGGTACTGCCGCACTCTGTGCGCGTGGACCGCCTGGCGGCACTGGATCCGGATGGGGGTTCTTCGGAGGTGCCACCCTGCCTGCCGCCTGCTGCCCAGCCTGCTGGTTCTAAGCGTGCGGCTGTGTCCACTGCTTCCTCGGGTCCGCAGAGGAAGCGTAGGGTGCCTGCAGGGTTGACTGCACGTATGGACCACCTTGCGTCAGAGATGGCCCAAAAGAAGGCACTTCTGCAGGATGTTCGTCCGTTTTCTGGGGAACATGTGCTGGGCCCTTCTGTGCCGGACCTGGCCCCGTTGTGTGAGGACGATGTGATGTCTGTGGCTGCATCAGACATCAATTTTCGTCTTTACCCTGAGGAGTTTGACTCCAGGGCCTCTGACGCTGGTTCACGGGGTGCCTGGAAAGCGAGGAGAGTGGGGCTCCCTCTGCCGTCGGCTCTGCACTTGCCCACTTGGGGTTGGATGTCCCGCAGGGAACTGTGCCGTCTGGTAGCGCTTTCTCTAAGCGACAGCAGCCCCTTCCCTCTGTCTCTGTGCCTCTTTGGACGGAGTACATGAAGGAGTTGCATGCATGTTGGACGGATGCGAAGGCTATGTCCAGACTGACGGCCGATGGCCGGGCTTTGGCTTCGATGTAGGATGCCCCCAATTTGGCTTGGGCCGCATGCCGGCCGTAGAGCCGGCTGTGGCCTCATTGATTGTTTCGCCGGAGGAGGCCCTCCGGTCTGATCCGAGGTGCCCTGACCCCCAGTGTCGCCTCACAGATGAGCTGCTGTGTCGGGCGTATGATACTGGTGCGTGAATGGGGCGCATGGGGAACTCTCTTTCCCATTTGTTACTGGGCTTTTCTAACGTGTTGGACCCAGGGACTGTTGGATGCGTCCCTCCACACTTTCGCCCTTATGTCGCTGTCGACCCTGACTCAGGCACGTCGGCAGGTGTGGTTGGCACAGTCACCCCTCACTGACGGGGGAGCTCTTTGGTGCGGCTGCGCTTCAGGCGCTGGAGCGCACGGCGCAGGCCACCCGGACGCGTGACCAGCTGGTCGGGCTGCACAGGCGGGCCTCTCCACGGGTTGTATGGTGTTCCACAGCCCTTTTCTAGGGGTTGCGGCCACCAGATGTCCCTCCGCCTAACCATAGGGGGTTTCGGCCTTCTACCCGGCGGCCTCCCCAGAACGCACGGGCTCTCGGGGTCTCCAAGCCACGGGGGGCACAGAGATAAGTTCAGGCCGCTGACGGTGGGGTCTTTTACCCGGGAGCAGTTGGATTACTGGACCGCTCACACCTCAGACCTCTGGGTATTGAGCACACTCTCCCAGGGTTACACTCTCCAGTTCCACTGTCGGCCTGCGGTCCCTGGCCCCGTCAGGTGGACTGTGGTCCACGACCGGGCCAGGACACTGTCACTGTCCTTAGAGATCGCCACCTTGCTGGACAAGGGGGCTATAGTGCCTGTGGACCCCCTGGTGGACCCAGGGGGCTTTTATTCAATTTATTTTCTGGTTCCGACTTGCGTCCGGTTTTGGACCTTCGGGGCCTCAATGTGTTCCTTGAGACGCTATCGTTTCGGATGTTGAGGACCCCGGAGCTGTTGCAGGCAATATCTCCGGGCGATTGGTTCAGATCCATCGACCTGTAGGATGCTTATTTTCATGTGCTGATTTGTTCTGCGTTTTGCTTTCCAGGGGTGGCATTATCAGTTTCGGGTGCTTCCCTTTGGGCTGTCCCTGTCCCCCATGGTCTTTTCCCGGGTTGTCGCGGCAGCCTTGGCCCCTCTTCAGGCGGGGGGGTTGAGGATCCTGCCTTATCTGGACGACTGGCTCGTGTGCGCCCCCAGTCGTGCCCGGTCCGTTCGGAACACTCAGACCATCCTCGACCACGTTGGGCGGTTGGGTCTGCGGGTCAATGTTGCCAAGAGCAATTTGGTTCCGTCTCAGGCAACGGTTTTCTTTGGGGTGGGCCTAGATTTGGTTGCCATGACCGCCCATCGTTTGGCTCTGCGGGTCGATGGCATTGTGGACATGCTCCACAGATTTCAGCGGGGTTGGGCGTTGCCGTTCCTGCTGTATCTCAGCCTCTTTGGGAAGTTGATGGCGGCCTCTGCTTGCGTTTGGATCCATCACACTTTGTTCACAGGCGCCGCAGACTATTCTGTTGGCGGGACAGGTCTTGGATCAAGAGAGGTGTCCCACTGAGCTCCCTTCCGTCTCGGAGGGAGGTGGTGCACACCGATGCGTCCCTCACTGGTTGGGGGCGACGTGGCAGGGCAGGATGGCACAGGGGACGTGGTCTCCATGTGCTGCATGTGAATGCCCTGGGGCTCATGGCGGTCCGCCTTGCTCTCGCACACTTCCTCCCACGGCTGCGTGGCCGGCATGTCATGGTGAGGTCCGACAGCACCACGGTGGTTCATCACGTCAACCACCTGGGGGTTTGCCGGTCCGTGGCTGTGGCCGGATGCTTCCTTCCGCCCAAAGGTGTTCGCTGGTGCGGTCCTTCCATTTAGTTTGGCCTGGTTTGGTACTGGGGCCTCTGTAGAACCGCTTTGTCCTTTCAGGGCATTGGAGGTTTACCGAACTGCCATGGCCTGCCATTCTGCAGTTCCTCCAGGATCTCATGGACCGGGGGCGCTCTCCCTCTACATTCAAGGTATATGTGGCGGAAATATCTTGTTTTAATGAGGGTGTGGCCGGTTCTCCGGTGGGGGGTAACGGGGATATTTCCCTGTTCCTGAAGGGTGCTCGCCGTCTTCTCCCCCCGCGACGGCCCATGGTTCCGTCCTGGGACCTGACGTCGGTTCTGGAGGCGTTGCGGGCTCCCCCATTTGAGCCCCTGGATCGTGTGGACCTGAAGTGGGTCTCCCTTGAGACCGCTTTTCTTCTGGCTATGGCCTCGGGTAAGCGTGTGAGTGAACTGCAGGCTCTGTCGTTTCACGAGTCCTGCTGCAGATGGGATCCCAATGGTCTGGGGGTCAATGGTCTGCGGGGGTCGGATCGCCTCTTTGTGTGCTATGCCGGCCCCAGGAAGTGACAGGCTCTGTCGTCCCAGCGCCTCTCCAAGTGGGTTGTCGAGGTGATCAGGCAATACAATGCTACCAGTGCTACCTCTCCTATGGGCGCCAGCTGCCTGCTGGGGTGAGGGGTCATTCGACCAGGGGCATCTCTGCCTCCTGCGCTGCTATGAGCGGTGTGCCTCTGGACGCCGTCTGTGCGGCCGCCTCCTGGACGTCGCAGTCTACCTTCGCGACGTACTACAGGGTCAATGTGGCGGTCCCTGGTCCGCTGGAGGGGGTGCTGCGGCACCATTCATCATTATGAGGTGGGTGTGTACCTCTCGTTGACCCCTCGGGACCTTGTTGGTATTCCAATGCTTAATGTTGTTTTATGTCTGTATTTGTCTGTGCACACTGGAGACTTTTTGCTAATGTATTCCAATGTGGTGTTTTTACTGAAAATAGCAAATAAACAATCTGAATCTGATACAGGTGTGATAGTGTAATACAGGTGTAATAGTGTAATACAGGTGTAATAGTGTAATACAGGTGTAAAGGCAAGGCAAGCCAAGTTTATTTGTATAGCACAATTCATACACAAGGCAACTCAAAGTGCTGAACAAGATAGCATTAAAATCATAAATAATCACAGAACATTAAAAAGAAAGATAAAAATATAAAATCCCTCAGTTGTATGCACAGCTAAATAGAACTGTCTTTAACCTGGTTTTAAACATTGTCAGAGAGGAGGCCTGTCTCACATCTTCAGAAAGATTGTTCCCGATTTTAGCAGCATGAATCTGAAAAGCAGCCTCCCCATGTTTAGTTCTGACTCTGGGCACTAACAGGAGTCCAGTCCCTGTGCTCCTCAGAGTCCCAGCAGGAGTCCAGTCCCTGTGCTCCTCAGAGTCCCAGCAGGAGTCCAGTCCCTGTGCTCCTCAGAGTCCCAGCAGGAGTCCAGTCCCTGTGCTCCTCAGAGTCCGGGCTGGTTCGTATGGTACTAACATGTCACTAATATATTTTGGTGCGAGGCTATGGAGAGACTTGTAACAAGCAGAGCTGTTTTAAAGTCTATTCTCTGAGCCACAGGAAGCCAGTGCAGAGACCTGAGAACTGGACTAATGTGGTCGTACTTCCTGGTTCTAGTCAGGACTAATGTGGTCGTACTTCCTGGTTCTAGTCAGGACTAATGTGGTCGTACTTCCTGGTTCTTGTCAGGACTCGAGCTGCTGCATTTTGAATGTACTGCAGCTGTTTTACAGCCTGTTTGGACAGACCTGTGAGCAGGCCATTGCAGTAGTCTAACCTACTGGAGACAAATGCATGGATAAGAATCTCCAGGTCTGCTTTAGACACTATGTTTTTGATCCTGGAAATGTTTTTTAGATGGTAGAAAGCTGCTGATGTTACTGATTTAATGTGGCTATTAAAATTTAAGTCTGAGTCCAGTATTACCCCTAGATTTCTGACCTTGTTTGAAGGTTTTAGGGAGAGAGACTGTAGGTGACAGATGACGCTCTCTCTTTGTTTCTGGGGACCAGAAAAGACAATCATTTCAGTTTTGTCTGTGTTTAGCTGAAGGAATGCGTGCCTTGACGTGTATGTGTATATGTGTGTGTACTATATGTGTATGCATCAAACTGAAATTTCCCCACTGTGGGACGAATAAAGGAATTCTTATCTTAATAGTGTAATACAGGTGTAATAGTGTAATACAGGTGTAATACATGTGTAATAGTGTAATACAGGTGTAATACAGGTGTAATAGTGTAATACAGGTGTAATACAGGTGTAATAGTGTAATACAGGTGTAATAGTGTAATACAGGTGTAATACAGGTAAAATACAGGTGTAATAGTGTAATACAGGTGTAATACATGTAAAATACAGGTAAAATACAGGTGTAATACAGGTGTAATAGTGTAATACAGGTGTAATACAGGTGTAATATGGGTGTGAGTGTAACAATGGTGTAGTCGTTTTATGTGTCTTGTTTGTTTATGTTACGCAGTTACTCACAATCGCTTCTGTCATTGTACAATTTCTACTTCCATCTCTCGTCTTCTTCTTCTGCCAGATCTTGTTATACCTCGTTTTCATTTTTTTTTAAAGATAGAAGTTAAAACATTTAATAAAACACATGCTTCAAATGAGTCATATGCATCGTAAATAAGACAGTTTTCAGTCTGGACTTAAACATTTCCAGGGACGAGGCCTGTCTCACAGCCTCAGGCAGACTGTTCCAGATTCTGGCTGCATGAATGGCTTTCTATGTTCCTGTTCCTTTGGTTTGGGTTGAGTTCATTTATTTTTATGAATAACTTTGTTGCACACTTGAATGATGAGACTCACAGTGGTGCAGTAGTTTAATTTTATTTATGCAAAACAATAAACATTGTCTTAACTCACTGACTGCCAGGCATTTTCAGATTCAAGTGCCAGCAATTTCAGGTGATTTGACCCAACTTTGAAGTGCCACAGAATATTCATTTTTTTAGACAATGTAAACACCAAGGGCACCAAGTTAAAGAATAACCTCTCTGCTTTACTCTGAAAAGAAAAGTGTGTTTCTACCTCTTACAGTTCTTGAGCTATTTGCCATAGAACAAAGCATACTTTCACCCACAACACCTGGTCTGAGCAAGAAAACAGAGGAAACGAGCTGTATGTAAACAGGAACATATCAAGCAGAAAAGACTTTTAGATGCATTTTTGCTGCTTTAGTGACAACTCAAAACATCTTCACACTTGTTCCATTACAAAAATTATAAAAAACATGACTCTGAAATAATACTTTTGATGGCAAATTGTTGGCAATTTATTCACAATTCAATTTAAAGGAGCAATATGTAAAAATCTGGCCAAAAGTGGTACTGCAGTCACAGTCAATATTTTGTAGTCCTCTCCCACTCTCCCTGACTCAGGTTGCCAGATTCACACCAAATCCAGCAGCAAACACAGGGAATTATTTTATCAGTTGTTTGTCCGTCTCCATTCGCATTGCCATGACAGCCGTGCTAATGCTGAATGAATGTTTCGATTAATGTTTTTTTATTATTATTATTTGGACATTTGAGATAAAAAACAAAAACAAAATAAAAGCAATGTAATTATACATAGTTTATGCAAAATAAATAAGCAATTGATGTCCAAAATAGGAGTGGGAAGAATGGATGTTGGAACGTATTTCTTCAGCGTATCAACATCAGGGTTTGCTCAAGAGGATATCACCTTTCAATTTTATTTATTCCCTATTTTTTAGACAAACATGTAAAAGTCCCACATCAAAAAGAGACTAACATTATTTTAATTGGGGTACATGTGGTCTTAAATGATTATTTTTTACAATTAAGCTATAATCTGCAAAAAAACTTCTTGACCTTCATCTTTTACCGTTTTTAGAGCAATCTGTCATAGAATGTGATAACATGCAATTAATACAAAAAGACAGAGCCCGGGATCGAACCCGGGTTGCCGCATCGTAAGCGCACAGTTTAGACCACTAGACCAACGATTCACACGAGTAGAGACACTGTGAAGAACGGAGTGAAACTAGAAAATTCTGCTTCACACGTGAACTTTTATCAGCCGTCTCAATTGTTCAAAGGCATCCCGATATAAATCCTCGTTTTAGTCTTTGTTTTGTCATTAATGATTTGAGAGTCATAACAAGACCTTTTTTAGCTCTGCGCCACATGTTATTTTACCACTGAGATTAATGAGCCGCGCGGAGTTCTGGCAACCAGATCACGGACGTACATGACACTTCCTGATTGGCGAAACGGCGGAGGGTAGGACATCAAAATCAAAACAATAACAACTTTTACGGGTCGTAAAACTAATTTTGATAATCAAATATCTCGGCTGAACTACTGTTATCAGTTAAAGATGAATTCGAAAAGAGTATGATTTAATAACACCTTTTGAAATATTCGGGTCATTTAATGATGACTTGAAATGCAAATATTACATATTGCTCCTTTAACTTTCTATACCATCAACCAAAACGTCAAACAACAACACAAAGATCAAAACTATAAATGTATGAAATAGAATGAAGCGTTTGAATTTGAGTGTGTGTGTGTGTGTGTGTGTGTGCGTGTGTGTGTGTGAGTGTCTGTGTGCGTGTGAGTGAGTGAGTGAGCGAGTGAGTGAGTGAGTGAGTGAGTGAGTGAGCGAGCGAGCGAGTGAGTGAGTGAGCGA